AGGTGTATGTTTGGTGACTTGTGACTGTTTGGTGACTGTTTAGTGACTGTTTGACTGTAGGTGTATGTTTGGTGACTGGTGACTTTTTGGTGACTGTTAGTGACTGTTTGCCTATCCAATGGCCGACTGTTTAACAGGATGTTCTGAGATGTTTATACTCTATGTTTATATATTTTTTCCCCCTCTGCATCATGATGAGAAGTTTCAAAACTAGGAAACTAAAGTTGAGAATTTTGGACTGGTTCTCTGCTGGGCTGCCTTTCTACCAAAGCCTTACAGTCAAAAACAGGCCTGAAAACCAGTCTGGAGCCACCAGTTTCCTACAGAAACCAAAAAGCCAATGAAGAGAAGCTAAGATCTGTGTTTCTAGTTTTCTTAGGAAAGCAAGCAGTTGTTCATGTTGTCTGTCTTCCTGTCCAGGTTCGGGTCGGTGGCCTGTGGTGTTGGACAGGAGCTCTATGTGTTCGGCGGTGTCAGAAGCCAGGAGAGCGAGAACCCCACGCAAAGACAGATGATGACCTGCAAGTCTGAGTTCTACCATGATGAGATGAGAAGGTCCGACTTTGAATATTTCAGCCAACTTCTGTTTGATGTGTTTCTATCAGCTCTAACAGGGGGACCCTGAAACCTGGACGGAGGACTGGTTACTGGTTTAAGTGGTCTAAACCATCCATCCATCTTCTCGTGCTTCCTATCATCAGCAGTCTGGGAGAAAGGCAGGGTCCATCCTGGACAGGTTACGGTCCACCGCAGAGACACACTCCCAACCCTAAGGACAATCTAATAAACCTAGCAGTCATGTTTTTGGATTGTGGGAGGAAGCTGGAGTACCGGGAGATAACCCGCGCACGAAAACTCCATGCAGAAAGCCAGGAATGGGCAGTGCTACAAACTGAGCCGCCGTGCAGCCCTGGTCTGAACCGTTTTGTTGAATCATTCCAGTTAGAAAGCAGATGTTGGGGGGGGGTCTTGATTCAGGGGATCAAACTCAGGTCAGGTAGCAACCCTACCTGACCTGAGTTGTTCCATCTCCTTGCAGTCTCAGTCAAAGGACTGGATCTCCTCCTCATGTACTGAAGCTCTCCAGAGTTCTGATATTGACCTTTAGTCCCTTTAGTTCTTCTTGCTGTTGGCCCTCTGCTGAACATACCCAGAAGATTTTAATGTTAAAGTAAAGGGCATCAATAAAAGCAGTTTAAGTCGTCCCTGCTAGCGCGATTCAAGGAGACGAGTCAAAAGGTTGTGAACAGGTTAAAGGTTAATGAACAGAAGAGACTTTGGTGGTTTCTCCAAGTTGTAGGTCTTGAACCAAAGGCCAGGGATTGATCAGTCTGCTGTGAAGGTTGATGAACAGTCAGCTGCTGGATCCACATTTGGGTCAGAATAAGGTTTTACTTCGAATCCAGTTTCTTCTATCGACTCTGATCAAACTAATTCTTTACATTTTTATCTGTTTTGTATTAAACTGTTTAAATTGATACCATTCTCTGAGGTCGATGCCACCTCCTTGTATTTGAGGAAACGGACCCTGGGAAGCCTTTAAGGCCTGTAACGCTGCGTTGATAATGGGTTCATGGTAAATGGTCTGAACCTGCTACATTCAGCCATTCACTGTCTCTCAGAAACCAGGCGTCACTTCTGATGTTTGTGTTTGCATTCTGAAGTCATGAGGTTCTGTGCTTCAGGTGGATGTTCCTAGATGACCAGAGTCTGTGCATCCAAGCCAGCTCATCTTTTGTCTACGGGGCCGTTCCCATCGGAGCCAGCATCTACGTAGTGGGGGACCTGGACACGGGTGGGTAAAAGGACAGCCCACGGTTCTCCACGGCCGTCCTGGATGGTGGCCTCCTTAACCCAGGCTTTGCTGTGTTTGCAGGGACGAGCTTTGACTACATCCGAGAGTTTCGCCGCAGCACGGGGACGTGGCACCGAACCACACCCATGTTTGGCTCCGACCTCTCCAAAACAGTCTGCGCCAGCCTACGCATCGCCAACTGTCGCCTGTTTCGCCTCCAGCTGACCCAGGGAATGTTCGCCATCAGGCTGTGAGCGACGGCTGCCCCCTGGGGCATACTGGGAACTCTTCATGTCAGATGTCGGGGATCTTTACTGTTTGACTTGAAAGGACAAAAACTCATCACGTTCACTGTAAAGCTGTAAAGTTTTTGTAGGAATTTATTAAATATTTTCTGTTTAACTTGGATTTTATCTTCCTGCGATGTTTTAAAAGTCATTCCTCATTTCTGATGTTTACTGATAGTTTGGGGGGGGGTTTAAACACTAATATTTAAGAAATATTGATTTAGATCCAGATTAACAGCTGGTAATCTCAGTAATCTGAAAGATTTCAAATAAAAAGATTTACACTAAATGTTGACATTTGTTCTGTTTGTGACTCATTTCATGGCCGCATCAAAAGCTGAGATTTAATGTTTGCCTTTTTTTAATAGAAAAGCTTTCACTGCAGCTTCTCCCCAAATCGCCATCAGGACTCACATGTTGCTATAGTGATTCCTGCCTTTTCCTTGGCAGCAGCATCCAACATGCTTTTCTGGTCAAATTTAAGCCCAAAACCTGCGTTCAGGCTGGACCCGAGTGTCTGGACCTCCAGCTGGATCAGTTTTAAATGATTGAAGCCAGATCAGAACATATGGAGATGAAACCGCTGACAGAAATCCAAACTGTTAAACATTCCTCCAAGTTTATTCAGCCTGGTCTGTTCTTAACTCTGTTTTATTCATTTTAGGTGTTTTTATTCTGTGCCTGAATCTATTGACGTTTTTTTCTTCCTGCCCTGAAATCGGATGCTTATTTTAAATAAATAGAATTTTAACAAATCTAAAAGATTGAGTTCTTATTTCATTTCTTGACAGGGCAGCAGATAGTTTTCTTTAGCTGCTTCCTTTGGATGAAGGCCGCTGTTCTTACAGAGAACCTGTCTGGGTGGTTCTGTGGCCCTAAAGATGGAGTAGGTGGAGTGTGACGGCCTTAGATGAGGGTTTCTCAGTCACCCACATGTTTGCTTAACCAAGTTTGGAGAATCTAACTCACGAGTGTGGATGAGCAATCGTAGCGCTACCCCAGGCCACATAGTCTAGATGTTTGTTCAGTAACACGAGGGAAACTGGTTTCCGTGTTTTGAACATTTAATGGTGTGATGAAGCAACTTCTCCCTCATCCAGACGTTTACAGTAAATACTGTTCTGCATTGTTGTCTAAACAGCGGTTAGCTGACTGGCAGCCTGTCAGTCTAGGAGGAAGCCAGCCTCAGTTTATCCTGTGGAGGAAGTTTCGTCACAAGATGCTTGAGTGTTTGAGAAACTTTAATTTGGTTTCACTTTGTTTTCCATCCAGCGTCCAGTCTGATTTTGATGTTCCGAGAACCTCCACTGCTAAACTGGACCATCACTAGTATCTGGCTTTCGCAGTAGAGCTAAAGAACAGCATTGGGCATGAGATGAGGGGGCTCAGCCCTGAAAGATGCCGGTGCAGACCCATCAGAAAGTTCTGAAACTTTGCTGTGACCTGATGGGTCTCTGATAGAAACAGGAAACTGCCTCCATAAAAGCCAGTTTAGATCCAGGTGCCTCAATAAAGATGGAGATCCTTCACAGAACTTTCAGTCTAGGTGTCGAGTTTTAAATTCGCCACCAACCTCTGTCCCAGACTCAGGCCCGTTTCACAGAACCTGAATTCAGAGTCACAGATGAAGCCAGACTTGATCCAGCCTGATCAGTGAATCCTGCCTGAACAAAGCCAGGCTTCCAGGTTAGAACCAGGTCTAGACCACTCCTGACTAAGTGTCCAAACATTACATGATTGAAGATTTTAAGAGTCACTCCCCCAGTGAAAGCCAATATGGTGGCATGTGCTGATCTGAGTTTATAGCTCTGCATGATTTTGTTCTAGCATTTAGTGGTCAAATTCTTCACATCAAACTCTGGGGACTTTATTAAAGTCAGAAACCTGCAACAGCAGATCTACTTTATCCTTCTTCACTGCAGAATAGAGAGCCATTTTAGAGGACAGCCAGAAATATGTCTTCAGATAAATTCTGAGGCCAACAGACTGGATGTGTTGAAGGGATGCATAGCAGCCATCTTTGAACAGTAGATGCTACCACAGTAACCCATGCTGTCAGAGCTCCTCGGCTAATTTAGCACCATGGTTTCACCTTTTAAAGACAATGATTGGAAACACCACTTCAACTACGCAGATAAAAATTAGAGACACGGTTTTCAAAGAAAGATCAATTTAATGGAACACAGGAATGCATGGCCTAG